TTGGTTTGCCCATGCTCTGAGGGAATAACCCTTCAGGGGTCTCAGTAAAAACCTGGTGTATTTACCAAGGATTCTCATCCTTGATGGGCCATGAACTCTGATTTTACCTCCCTAGTGCTGGGAGATTTCCAGAAGCTTTGCTTCATTTCCTGTCTTCTTAGCTACCCGCCCCTCCCTATGCTTGGCTTCTCTGACACGCCACCCGGCTTAGTTAGGTATCAGCAAATTCCTCAAAGGTTATAATTATCAGCAATGTCAGGCTCACTTCTCTCTGATTCTCATAGCTCTTCGGTGCCAGCTGCCTTCGTAGCCTTGAAGTCTAGTTTTTGTCTCCCCAGCCCAATGAGATGGGAAAAGCTGTTCTTCTTTTTTCTTCTGTGCTTATAAATTAGCAGATGTTTTGAGGGGTAAAGTGGTAGAAGTCAGACTTCATTCATTCCATGTCTCACCTCTCTGAATCTTGGACCCTCAAGGCCTCCGTTGGTTGCCCTCTGGTACCTTATGAGGATGGTGTTTTGTAGCTTTTACTTTGTATTGTGATCGGGAGATTGAGCCAAAAATGCAAACTAGCCTATCATAGCTGGGAGGTGAACTCGGTTGGAGAGTTTACTACATATTGGGAAAAATGGCTTATTTTTATTTTCTCCAATATTGGAGAAGAATACAACTCTAAACCATATTAGGAGGAGGAGGAATTAAAGATTTAAGCATCTTTTAAAATTCAAAGTGAGTGCAGAAATGCAGCTAAATTAAAATGTAGACACATTTTCATATCCTAGGGTTAGGGAAATAATCTTTACACCTACAAGAAAAGAAATTATTGAGCAAATATATACATTTTTTGTTCTACAAGACACCATATAAAAAGAAAACAGACAAATGAAAAGTTAAGAAATTTACAGCATCAAACACCAGCAGTGAGCTAATACCTAGACCCTACGGGGCACTCCAGAAAATCAGCAAGAAAAGATAAAAAGAAAACCCAATAAGGGCGCCTGGGTGGCTCAGTTGGTTTAGCATCCGACTCTTGATCTTGGCTCAGGTCATGATCTTACAGTTTGTGGGTTCGAACCCCCCATCAGGCTCTGCACTGGTAGTATGGAGCCTGCTTGGGATTCTTTCTCTCTGTCCTCTCTTGCTCATGCTCTGTCTCTCTCTCAAAATAAGTAAATAAGCTTTTTTAAAAAAAGAAAAAAAAGAAAGCCCAGTAGAAAAGTGAGCAAGGATAAAACATATGAGTAAACAGTTCCCAGAAACTCACATGTCCCACAGTTATGTGACTTTGTGCTCAGATGCGCTAGTAAACATAGAAATACAAATTCAAACAACTGTGCTACCACTTTCCACCCATTAGTTTGACAAAAATTAGAAAGTTGGGCAACGCTACATGTTAGCAAGAATTTATGAAACTAGAACACTGAGGCCCTTCTGGTGGGAATCTAGTTTAGCACAGGAATTATGAAGAACAGTTTGCTAGTACTTGTTCAAGTTCTGTTGACAGACACCCAGTGACAGATATCCTTGAATATATACATATACATTTAAGAATGTGTGTGTGTGTGTGTGTGTGTGTGTGTGTAAATAAAGAGAGATACACGTTTTAGGTATATATTTTTTAAATTTTTTTATTTAAGTAATCTCTACACCCAGCATGGGGTTCAAACTCACAACCCCAAGGTCAGGAGTCACACGCTCCTCCGACTGAGACGGAGGCATCCTTGGGTATATACAATATGTAATATTATATATTAATATATAAAAAAATTTATATATTAAATTTTTTTAAGAAGATGTTCATTGCAGCGTTATTTGTAGGTAGCGGAGAGATGAACATTCCTAGATGTTTATCACTAGGGCAGTTCATAAATAGAGTGAAAACACAGCATGGAATTTCAACTAAAAGCTAGATGACTATTCAGCAATGTGTACCCATTATAAAATCATAGGGCAGACTGGAGAGGAAAAGGCTGATAAACAAGAAGAGATCTTACGCATAGCACTATCCATGTAATTTAAAGCACAAGTCACACATAAAACAATACAGCATCATTTATAAGGAGACATATTTAATATTTAATCCATTAGACTCATTGTCTAAGGATTGGGGTGGGAAAATGAGACTAAATGGGAAATTTTTTAAAATTTTGTTTTGAAGGGGGCACCTGGGTGGCTCAGTCATTTGAGCGACCTGCTCTTTCTTTTGGCTCAAGTCATGATCTCACAGTTTTGTGAATTAGTGCCCAGTGTCGGGCTCTGTGCTGACGATGTGGAGCCTGCTTGGGATTCTCTCTCTTCTCCCTCCCTCTTTACCCCTCCCAGACTCACCCTGTCTCTGTCTTTCTCTAAATAAACAAATAAACTTAAATAAACTTAAATAAAATAAAATAAAATAATAAAATAAAAATTTGTTTAAATAAACTAATCACTCAGTTATAGATTCCCTCTCTCTCTTTCCTTCCAAGTCCCTCACTCCCTTCCATCTTTTTTCCCCCCTCCCATCCTCCTGCAGATGTTAGAAGGATCCTGTGACAGGTGCTGGGGGTGGGGGGGGGGGGAAATAAAGGTGATTTCCACGTTGGCTTGATCGCGTTAGGCAGAAGTCCAAGGTGAACACACCAAACGCTCTCCTAGCAGTTAGAACTCCCAGGCACACTCCTGCTCCGAGCTCCCGAGGAATGACGGCAGCACTTAGCAAGATAAATAAGCTCCGTGACTGAGGCCAGAAGGCACAGTGCTGTTTCTTTCCCGTCAGGCAAATGTTTATCAGCGAACATAAAGATATAAACTCCAGAAGCTTGTGTGTGTGGAATCCTCTCATCAGATTAAAAAGTGTGTATAAAGTACTTCCTATGTGCAAGTCCTGGGATAAGTGATTTCTTTGTTCGTTTTTTTTACAGTAAGTGTTTCAGGCACGTGAAGGGGTATAGTAAGTAGCCACATAGCAGGGGTACGCCCACCCCCTGCTTACAAGCCAAGGCCGGGGGTGGCCAACCTTTGCTGCTGGTTCTGAAATCTTCTCAGCTTTGTGGGTCTCCATCACACCTGCTGTCCTCAGAAGGTGCGACGTGGAAATAGCCGTGGAGCAGAGCGTCCGCCAACCAGCAGGGCTGAGCTCCAAGAAGACTTTACTTATGGACACTGTGACCTTCACAGGTCATGAAATGTTATCCTGCTTTTGATTTGTTTTCAAACCATTTGAAAATGTGAAAGCCATTCTTAGCCCCTGGCCCCATGAAAAGACAGGCTGGATTTGGATGGGCAATAATTTGTGTCAAGCCCTGAACCAAAATGTTGCAGACTCACAGGAGGCCCTCAGGGTACCACGTGGTCCCAAGTGGCATCCTGTACCATCCCCGGAGTTAGCCATTCTCGGAAATGTTTTTCATCCCATACGTACTGTTATCTGTGTATCGCGTGTGTGTGTATCCCTAAACAATATTTAGTAGTGATTTGTATTTTTTAAATTTTTTAATGTTTATTTATTTTTGAGAGAGAGAGATAGAATGTGATTGGGAGAGGGCAGAGAAAGAGAGAGGGAGACGCAGAATCCAAAGCAGGCTCCAGGCTCTGAGCTGTCAGCACAGAATCCGATGTGGGGCTTAACCTCACAGACCGAGAGATCATGACCTGAGCCGAAGTCGGACGTTTAACCGACTGAGCCACTCAGGAGCCCCTAGTATTGATTTGTATATTTTGCACTTCATGGAAATATCATATTTTGGGTACTCTTCTGCCACTTTGTTCAGTACTTTGTCAGTCTCTCTGTCGTGCTGTTTATGGAGTCGCGGGTCTGTCTTTGCTCTGCTGTATCACACTCCACCGCTGGAGCACACTGCCTCTATCATTCTTCGTCCTCTGGGACTGGGGGATACTTAGATTGGTGCCTACTAAGGTGTTTCCTTACAGGTAACCATCTCTTTTCATCCTCTCCATGACCTCTTCGGGGCGGTACTTGGATAATCCCATTGTCCAGATAAGAAAGCTTTTGACTAGAGCAGTTTGGTAACTTTCTCAAGGTCGTGAATGAGGACGAAACTGAAATTTGAGTCCATGACCTTTTCACGATGGAATCTGGGTTTATAACCCCTTTTCCACCAGTCAGTATGTTGCGTTTTATGAAAGTAATGATAGCAGTTCTCCCCAACAATGATCTTGAGATACTGATGTGCTATCAACACACTCAGCCTTTCTCTTCCGACATCTTGAATCGGTGCCACACACTATGGGTTGTAGTTGAGCCCTTTGAAAACAGCCACATAGAGGATTGTGTACATGAACTGGAAACCTCATTTCCTAACCCCAGTGGGTAGGAATTTAGGAGGAATAAGAACAGACATGGTACAAATACTGAATGGTTTTCAATTAAAAAAAAAATGAGAAAGAGAGGGTTGGAAAGAAAGACCCAGAAGATTTGTCCCATGCTTTCCCTGCCCCCCATAACCTTTTATCAAAGTCGTGAGTAATTCAGGAGCTGGTGTTTCTTTTCTTGGAGGGGCCGCCGAGAGGGGCTTGTTAAGTGTTAGGGATGCCTTCCGAGCCTCTCTCTGCCCGTACAACGAGCACCATGTCCATTTTTCTCTCGAAACTGCAGTCAGTCTCCTCTGCCCAAGCCTCTGCTTTTGGGAATCCAAACCCAAACGCTCCCTGTCTGCCTGTCTCTCCCTTCCTCTGCTGGAAAGTCTCCCTCACTCGCTCCAGCTCATTCAGATGACATTTAAAAGAGACCAGAATCTAATTTTTCTAATGGCAAAATACAGTATGAAGGAGGGGAAAGTTTTAATCAAGTGTGTGTATTCTCTGGAGGGGAGCAAGCACTTCATTTTCATTCCTTATTTCCCTTTGATGAAAAGTTTAGTGAATTTTTATTATGGAGAATTTATAAGACGGCGGGGTTTAGGTAATCAGCTTTAATATTTATACTCTTAGGGAAAGAAATAGGCATCATTAGTAAGCATGCATAATTAATGAATAAATTATATTTCCCCTTTGTTTTCTTTCAGGTACAAGGAAATGCTAGAACTGGTGATCTCACCCAGCCTCACTGTAAACAGCGATTGTCCGCGCAAACCGAAGCTTAGCCGGGCCGACGCCGATGTCTGGACTCTGAGTCAAGTAGAAGGTAGGCCTCCTGGCGTGAGTTTCGGGGGACCTGTGGCATCCCACCCGCCCCACCGCGGAATTTAGTAAGGGACTGACAGCACCCTTTCGAGAATACCGTCACAATGACAATTTCTCCTCCTGGCATCGGGACCGTTGCCTCTGCACCCGAACTCTGGCTAACAGTTCCCGTCTGGTCATCAGAGGTGTGACTGTGCTGCTCCGAGTTCTGAACTTCCTGTGCGGAAAGACGCTAACACTTCGGCAGACGCTCATAGTCAGTTTCGGGTGTGTTGCAGGCTGCGGCCCTGGGCGTGTCCCGCAGGGGCTGGGCTCCATTGCGGGAGAGCCTGTCCCTCAGCGCCCTCCCCCCCCGCCCAGCCATCAGCATCCAGCCAGACCTCTTGTTTACCGCGGTTTGACGCTGGGACCAGAACTCGCTTGCCTTTGGCTTTCAGGTTGGGTGGGAGTCAAGGAAGCAGAGGAGAATTAAGCTGTTTAGAAAATTATTGGCAAACGGTGCAGCCGAACTCGTTTCCACGAGAACAATTCCAGCTATTGTTTGCTCTGTTTGGGATCTGTCAGCCTTCCTGGGAGAGCGGGGAGTTAGCAGAAGGCATTACGCTATTATGTTTAGCCATTGGGCTTAACCCTTTACGCGGGCCCGCTTTGGGATTTGCCGCTGGTGTCCCGGGACCCTGGGCTGACTTTCCCTCATGGTCTGTGTTTGATGCCCGCTCAAGGGGCATCGGTCCTGCATCACTGTCGGGGGAAGCCAGAACCTTGTGTCTAGTCACATACAGCATCACAAGGAATTTGCTTCTGAGCAACTCCAGGCTTCCAGGGATAATTATTACTGCCACCAGGGCAATGAAGTTCCCCTTGCATGCTGGTAATGCAGCTGAGACAAGTCTACTAAAAGTACCACCGAGAGGGTCTGGGCTCCCCGATCAAACCACATGCTGGAGAACAAACATACCGTCATTCTTTTGGCCCTTTGGAGTGTCCGTGTGAACCACCTGTGCTCTTTGAGAATTTGAGACGATTTATTGAGCCCCATTCAGAGATCATTATTCTCTTCTTTCTGAGTAGAGGCACTATTTCGAACCGGGACCTCATTTCAGAGCCAGGCAAGCGAGGAGGAGGCGGAGGAGGCTGCCAGGGGAGGAAGATCCAAGGCTGAACCCCGGCCCCACCGCTTCCTAGACAAGTGGCCTCGGGCAGATTGTTTAACTTTCCCGAGCCTCTGCTTTCTTACCTGCCAAACGGGGGGGCATAATCACGACCCGCCTCCTAGGATGCCTGTCGCTGCCTGGCCCGCCATGGGCGCATGGTACAGTGGTTAAACTTACTGTCCCAAGGTCGTTCTCCTCTGAATCTGATAACCACGGTGAGTGTAGAATCATGGCTGCAAACTGGCGGCTCATGACAAGTCTGCCCTTCAGGTGTGGCTTTGTTTGGTTTATGCTGTCCTTTAAATAGAAATGAACTTGTAAATGTCAGGAGAGTTCACATAAAAGTGTGGATTTCTAGTTGCTCTCAAGATGCTGAACACTTTAGACATGCTGGGCCCACATTCCCACCTGGCTGCCACTAGTGGGAGCTGAGATGCAGCTGTCCCTTAGATGGATCCCAGCCACTCCCTTATGTCCTTAGTTTTTATGAGCACATACTTTGTGCCAGGTACTGTGGAAAGCAGCGTAACTGTAGATTAACCCTCCTCCTCTGTGATTAGCAGGGCAAATACCCGGCACTTGTGTGTGGTAGGCATGAATATATGAACTCGCTGAAGCCTCACAACTCCCACAGTTATTAGGGGGGTAGTGTTATTAACCTTGTGTTACAGAAGAGGAAACTGAGGCACAGAGGGGTCAAGTAGCTCGATTGAGATGACTCAGTTCAGTGACAGCTGACATTTGAGCCTCCGTCATCTGACTCTGAAGCCTGTTCTCCTAATCAGTACACTGTATTGTTTCTCGCTGAATTATGACACCCCTGTTAGGCTGTGAGCCCATCTTACAGATGTGGAAGTTGAGGCACAGGGGGGTTAAATATAAAGAAAGCAACCTAGAGACACACAGCTAGCAGCAGGGCCGGGAATCAGACTCAGGCACTCTGGCTTCAGGGTCTCCACTTCTAAAGGTGAGAATCACTTTCTGTCAAGCCCTAAAGAGTCCTCCTACTTCTGATAATTGTCCCTACACAGCGGTGGCACCCACAAACACCTCATCTCTCTCCTCCTTTTGTGGCGTGGAGCTGTCCGCACCCTTTGCACTGCCCTGGAGGGAGTAGGCTGGCCGCCAAGGCGAAGGCTTTGGGGCTGAGTATGGGGGTGGAGGAAGGTTGCTCCCAAATTCTGAGTAGGCAGGGCCGGGAGGGGCAGCTTACACACACACACACACACACACACACACACACACACACACCTTTCCTTTTCTTGAGATGGGTGGTGAGCTCCTGGGCTCCATAGGGAACACTCCACCCTAGCTGTGGCTTCAAGTGCCAGATTATGCGGCTGCCCTTCCAGCCTGGCCCCCTGGGTCCTTCCTTCTGTGACAGAGGCATTACTGAGTGACTGCAGGGACCCAGATCCCAGGAGGACCAGAGAGGCATGAGCCACAGAGCCCCCATTCAGGAGGATTCTGGAGCGAATGTGGAACCGAGAAATCTCCCAGTGGCTCCCACTTCAGCCATGGGCCTGCCTCTTACCATCTGTGGTCCCTGGGCTTGTCACTCAGCTTCTTTGGAGATGATTTGCCTCATTTGTTAAAGGGGAGTAATTATTCCACTGACCTCCCCGAGTTGCTATGAAGATGAAATAGTTAAAACATGGAGAGGACTTAGTGTTTCTTAGAAAATATGGAATAAGATCTAAATGCCTTACCCTTGGCCACCAGGGTAGCCTGTCCCTGCCAGCCTCTCAAAGTCACCTCCTCCCTGTCCCCTTTGCTCAGCGAACTGAGTCCTGGCCTTGGACCGAGCCCTGGCCTTGTTTCTTCTGCTATAACTCAGGAGCATGATTCTGCTCTCAGGGCCTTTGCACATGCTGTTCCCTTGGCCTGGTCTCCCCCTGTCTGTAGGACCATCCTCTCAGCCGTCAGTCTTCATCACAGAGGTCTCTCCTATCAAATGTAACCGTTCGTTCCCACATTCAACTGGTGTTTATTCCATCCAGCATTGTTGTCAGCACAGTAAGAAGCAGAGTGCATAGCATGTTGGACAGCGATACGTGCTGTGGGGGGAGAAGCGGGGAAGCAGCATAAGGAACACAGGGATGTGAGGGCGTCCCTGGGAAGGTGACACCTGAGTAAAGACCTTCAGGAGATGAGGGAAGGCGTTCCTGTCGATGCAGAAGAAGAGGAAATAGCAAGTGCAAAGGCTCTGGGGCCGCAGTGTGTAGTGCGGCTGGAGCCCAGTGAGCAAGGCGCCATGGGCGAGATGAGGTCAGGAAGCTGGCCAGGCTCAGGCGTCGCCGGACTTTGAGGCTCAGGCGTCGCCAGACTTTGAGAGCCGCTGACGGGACGGAGGCTCTTACCCTGAGTGAGGTGGGGGCAGTGAGAGGGTTTGGAGCGGGGGAGGGGCCTGTGATCCGCATATTGACAGGACCTCCTTCCCCCCGCCCCCCGGACCATATGTGAGAACGACTGGGGGTGGGGGCCGGCTGGGAGCCCAGAACCAGCCTGGAAGGCATTACAGTCACCCGGTGAGAGGTGCCGACGCCTTGGACTGGGGCAGGCAGAAGGGCCCGGATTCTGGGCCAGATCCGAGGGGAGAGCCAGACAGGACACCCGCGCACCCCGTCTTCCTCAGCATCCCGCCCTCTGTCGGGAGGTGCGTGCCCTCTCGTTCAGCAGGCTCCGGCCGGGATGTCAGTTCTCAGAAGGCAGACCCTGCCCACCCTGGTGATCTGGCCTGCCGAGGGCATGTGCGCCACAGACACACAGCAGGCGCTTCAGACATCCTGGCCCAGCGAGTGAGGACACAGGGCCACTCACTCCCACAACCACATGTACCCTGGCTCAGGCTCCCCTCTCTTCCCCAGAAGTAACCACCGTTACCGTGTTTTGTGTCCATGCCGAGACCTTTCCATAAGCCATCGAATTTGTACAGACGTGTGTTTATGTGACTCAGGCGTGTGTGTTTATGTGTATATGTTTACAAAGGTACATTCACCGTAGGAAGTGCAGTGTCGCTGGAAAAACTTCTGGAACATGAAAGCTATCGTATGATACATAGGTGCTCTAACTTGCTGTGTTCACTCAAGGCACGTTAAGAAGTGATTTACCTCTTTTTTTGCTTAACTGAATAATCCACTAAAGAATGACCCAGTTCATGAAGCCGTCGCCTGGCCCGTGAACACGAGGTTATTTGTAATTTTTTGCTCTGCAAACAGTGCTCCCGGGCTGTCGTCACGCAGGCTGCTATTTGAACACGTGCCCTCTTTCTCTAGAGAAGATGCTGAGGGCTGGAAGGGCAGCATCAGAAGGCAGCGCCCCATCCTTTCTGCCTTACAAACCCTCCCCCCTTATCCAGTGTCGCCTCCGCCCCATCGGGAAACCTCCCAAGCCCCTCGGGAAAACTGGTAGTTTCCCGTTCCTCCCTTCATTTCCGCACCACGTGGCCATCAGGTTGTTTGATGCACCTGCTGTTGGGGGGCACCTCTCTCTGGGGTGCCGACCCACCCGCACACAGCCTGCCTTTGGGGACTTTGCAGGCTACTCTGTTCCAAAGACACTTTTTGCATCACCCCATGGTCACTGCACGTCACATCCCACAGGGTTTGGGCTCAGCCAGCTCTGTCACTCGCTCCCTGGGTGAGTGTCACCAAACTCCTAGTCTCCCTGAGCCCATCTCCTCACCTGGATAATGAAGATATGTTTGCTGCCCACATTTGTTCATTAAATTGTTCCAGAATGCCCGCTGTGAGCCAGCGCCTGGTGTAGGTGGTGGGAATATAATGGTGAAGGAGACAGGCCCCTTCCCAGAGCTTACATTCTGGTGAGAGAGGCAGGTATTGGATTT